GGCGATCGTGGTGGCCAAGATAAACGGTTGCTGCGATGTTAATCCATGAAAGCAAACGATGATCTGGCAACATGCTATCTGGCATTCTTTTGCTGACAAATTGGGTTTTGGATAGTCTTAGGTATGGAATAAGATGAGGCTCCACTACTTCCTGAATATAGTGTCGGCCTGTCATGATAAAATTTAGTGGTGACCATAAGCAACAGCACCAAGGTGTGGTGAACGTGACGCTCTCTGTCAAATTGTGTGTGTGACTTTTACCACGTCGCCTTCTCACTCTTGCCCCACCATCGTGCATCCACAGACAGAAGCGGGATTCGTACTATAGACCACCTGATTCCATTCCCGGTCCCATAAAGTTCTTTCTCTACACCTGAGCAAACGGTTACGCCGATGTTCAGCTGTGAGAGGTAGCACCCAATTTGCGCGATAATAAAAAAGGCCAAACTGTCGTATTCGGCAATATACCGTACGCATACCAACCATCCTTCCATGCTCTTCAAACCACTGATTAGGGATGGCTCGAGTACCACTGAATCTGCCTCTCAGAGCCAGAAGTCTTAACCGGCGGTCTTGTCGCTCTGTGATCCCTCTGGGACGTCCAGAACCCCTCGACCACTCTCAAAGTCACTTGGACACTCGGCAAATTCTACGCACTCTAGGCATTTTGAGCAATCAAAAAAGGCTTCTCAATAAGCTACACGAAATTTAACATTTAACTGACAGCGTAAATGTACGAAATCTGAGTGCTTCTTTATCACCAAGCAATACACGCAGTCACCACAAAAACTTAACAGAAAAACCTGACCATTTTATCACTTGTTGTTCATGGCAATATAAATCGATAAGCAAAAATTCTTGAATTCTAATAAACATAGGCAGGTGTTTACCTTTTTCTTCACTCAGTATAAGTACTAGAGGGGTTATGAAGGATATGAAGATCTTACCGCGATCTATGAAACAGTAGCAGAACCAAACACCACCAATTCTTTTAAATTAGATGTCTAAATTCATTTTTATGTTCTGTTACTGTCTCAACTATCTTTCAGATCCCTTTTTGGACGTTGCAATAACGTATTTGGTTGCTATCTTCATATCGAATATGTAACTCAATCCACAAGGATGGAAAAGCCTTGTAGGTTTTGAAAATCGATCCAGTGGCGGCGGAGTTGTAGGCAAAAAACGGAAGAAACTAAAATGACTCAAACTTCGTCTTTTACTTTTCAAGACTCCTGCATATTGGTGCTCCGAAAATTGGAGTTTGTAGGTGACGGGGGCTTATAAACGATGCATCTTTGGTGTCAGTGAAAAACGTTTTATTATGAAAGATGTACGTCATCCAGTAGAAACAGTGAAATCCGCAAAACAACTATAAAAGGCGATGTACAATCTTCGGAATACCTAATACCGCTTATTCCTTCGCGTATGATTGATGACAGAATTGCGTGCGAATTACAAGTTAATCTGCTTGAGTTTTTTCAAATAAGTATAAACTTGTGCACATCATCTAATTTTTACTTCTCGCAAAATCTACGAGTCGCTGATGTGCTAGTCAGCATTAACAGTCCTGAAGGATTCATCCCCTAATCTTGACAATGTCTAAACAAAACCGGCATGCTCTCCGGATGCTCGGAAGTTGTACTTGTGAAGCTTTGGTGTGACGCCTATTAGCAGAAGAACTTCTGTCAAACTTTCCTGAGTACAAACAGATTTAATATTAGATAAACAGAAGTGTAGCCTACAGATGAGGGAACGAAGTCAGCCTAATTTCAGTATGAAATGTTCAAAATTGGAGGGATGGAACTTTAAAGTGCTTGAGTTGTGATATGGATTGGGGTATTTACTTTGTTAGAATCGATATTTATTTTCTCCTCGACCGTAGACGAACCATTGGCGCATATCATATTACGCAAAGTGATGTTTCTAATGGGAATGGAGTATAGGGTATAGTCCCGGCTAATCCTGGTACCGGATGCTCCTGAATTTCCCAATTAAGTGTTGAGTCGGACTGGCAAGAACCGCAACTACAAACAAGTATATCTAAAGAAGTTATTTACAAAAATATAAGCAACTATACGCTCCTTAATTGGGAAATTTGCTCCACCCTACAGGGTAATTCATAATTACGTGGCAATGCATGCATTCGTTTAAATAGAATACCCAGTATACAGGATGTCCAAGGGAAAGATCCCATGCATGGGGATCTCAATATCTGTGAGAGATACATCTTAATTTACATTAGGAAGAAGTTGCGTTCTTTGGGGCGTATTTACATGCCGTTGAGAAACTTGTAAAAATTTCATGGCTTACTGATATATTTGGGAAAAACTAAAATTTGACCAAATCATTGTTATTTTATTGTGACTTAATGTTAAAAAATATCAGAAAACTAATGAAACTATTCTATTGGCATTTTTTAGGACTACATGATGGTGGTTTTAAATTTTGTGCCCGCCGACTCGTTTTTGAAAAACCATCATCAACTGTATTTTTTATATGGTCTGAAAAAAAAGTAAACCATGTATCTAATAGCATTTTTGCATACGAATTCAAGGGTACATTCATTTTCTTGGTTATAAAAAAAATGCGTTTTCTCTGATCTTTTCAATTTTTTAAGTAGGCGTTGCAAACAAGTGCTTGAGTTGACGTGAATACCTGACATCGATTATTGTTATTATAGTGTATTGTTAATATTGCTTTATCATCGTCAAAGATGTCAGGCGGTCATTTTGCCAATCTATCTGCAAAATTGGCTGATTTAAAAGTTGTCAAAGTTGACTGCTTTTTCGTACAAAACATACTGTAGCTCTAGAAGTTGCTATATAAACTGTAGGCCTTCAAGATTGTACTAAAATAAAAGAATGCATGTTTGTAAGTATGAATCACCCTATAGAGAGATATTTTATACTATAAGTTTGGACCATATACGAGTATTATGTTTGCCTATGATATTTAACATTAAGTTTTATTTAGATGATAATAAATGAGCTATGGATAATATGCATAATCAAAAGCCTTTGGAATAAGTATGCTTTGTAACAATATTTTTAACTAATGTATAACAAAGTTTAGTCGTAATAATAGGAGGGAGATTATGGCATGTACCTCAAGAAACTGAGGTAAAGAAGGCTATTTTATACCAATTACTTTTATTGGACAATTTAAAAATCCAGTATACTGAAAAGATCTGTATACGAGAATAGATTGAAGGCCTGTGCGAATTAAAAATTGCGATAGCCGGCGATGTTTTGCTTTGATCTCCTTTTCAGCTGTACCCTACCTTAATGAGCTTCGCATGAAATTAAATTGGTTTTTTATGTATTATGTGATCTCTACATCATAAAAAGCTATATCTCACTCATTGTCTATTTGTCTGTATGTCTGTAACTTCTTCTCGTCACGGAGTGATTTCAGTAAATAGCACGTTGATTGTTATGAAGCTTTTGGAATCGTATGACATAGCGTCACATCTGCGACTTATTTTTTGGGCGAGACAAGGTATCAAGCTGAAATTCAGGATGCAATTAATAGATAAATAATATATTTTAAGGAAAAAGTGGCAGTTGAAAATTTCAAAACAGTGGATAGGCGCCATCTTGGAACACACTACTTCACACGCCTACTAGCAGTATTTCAATCGCTAAAATTTTCGAAAATATGTTATTTGGAAGTTATTATGACATGTACATCACGAAATTCCCATTTCTGTCTGTTTGTCTATCTGCTAATCCTATTACCACCTATAACTTGAAAAGTAGCACACGGATTTTGATGAAAATTTTACATTAGGTTACTGCTATGCCGAGGACAAAAAATCTTTGTAGTTTTGAAAATCGGTCCAGTGGCGATGGAAAAGAATGCTAAAAACCAAATAAATATAAATCGCATAATCTTCGTTCTTTGACTTTATAGGGGATCCTGATCAGTGAAGTTTTGTGAAGAAACTTGATGTCGGTGAGGGTATATCTCAATTTTTTGATGATAATATATTCACGCTCCCAACCTTGATAAATCTACGTGCCTATTAGACACCCCTTCAAAATATTCAGAGAAATGAATGCACATAAAATATGCAACCACAAAAGTAGATACACATGCCCATACATCCGGAAACAGGTGTAACCTGAGGAAACGAAAATGGAGAGGGAAAAAATGACACACGATGTCCCCAACAAGATCCAACCTACATATTGTAGTATAAAATGACTAGAAGGCCTCGAATTTTCAAGGCGACATCTATCCACAACCACGCGGCCGGTTATAGCCACTTACTGTGGTACTTCAAGCCCAAAGGATCTAAAAAGAGAAAATGAACATGTGGAGAAAGGTATATAACAAAAAAATAGGAAAATAATGGGCAAAATCCGCAAAAAGAAGGAAAGTGGATTAGAGCAGAAAATAGGATAGGTAACCCGAGCGATACGTATTTCTGCTGGTTGGCTATATCAGGCACGAATTGAATGCACATATGCAACTACAAAAGTAACGTATATACACATGCCCATACATCCGGATACAGGTGTAACCTGAGGAAACGAAAATGGAAGGCAAAAAATGACACACGAAGTCCACAACAAGAGTCAACCTACAGATTGTAGTATAAAATGGCTATAAAGTGGTTGCATATGTGCATTCATTTCGGGCCTGATGAAGCCAACAAGCAGAAATACGTATCGCTCGGGCTACCTATCCTATTTTCTGCTCGAATCCACTTTCCTTCTTTTTGCGAATTTTGCCCATCATTTTCCTATTCATATATATGTATAATAAGTATCTTGTGAGTACCTTAAAGCCTTAGGATATACAATCGCTACCTTTCTAATTGGCGGACTAGAAAGCCAACCAGCCATTAAAACACTAGAGGGAAGGGTCTACTCAAATATGTAATAATATAAGACCCATGCTATTTAAAAAAATTCAAAATCTCAATTTTTTAAACAGGTTGTTCCAAATTATATTGCTCAATTCAGATATACTGTTTCAAGAAAATTGATATAACCAGGAGGTTTTAATGGCTAATTGTTGAGTTACAATCGATGCAATGCACAAAAGCGCTTAACTTTGACAGTCCGCTATTTTAAAAGGCAGTAATTTCTTTCCCTACTGCTCTGATTTACTGATAATAAGCTTCAAAGTGTTACATCTGGAAGGCTGTACAAACGCTATACGACGACACTAATAGTATAAACTTCATTTGCTGCATAATAAGTTCTGGTAACAACTGGAACTCTCCTTACGAGATATCCGCTAAACAGCTTGCCGGATGCCCCGCGTGCCTCATGTTTCCTGCCTCATGCCTGATGCCTCATTCCGTCTCCATACCGCGGGCGGTTTTACAAACTGAAACAATTAGGTAGTTAGAAAACAGCTCCATGGTTCGCGTTGGATTCGACGGCACGCAGCGGAGTTAATGTACACTGTGGGAGATAACTTACATTGATGGGCCGGGACGATTAGGTCTTTAGTCAGGTTACGGAAGTCACATATTTTGTACAAGGCTTAGTACTTCTACTTCAAATAGGTGCATAGGACTGAATTGTCTAACCGAATCAAACATATATGTTTAAATTCCATGGTGGCAGAGATTTGAACATATCGTCGTTGTTTTGACGAAAGCTCCTATGTGTTTAGAAGCAGCTTTTGCAGAATGTCATAAAAACTATTTTAAATTTGAAAAATTGGTTTTGTATCCATTCACTTCGATTTTTAGTAAATCACAGATTTACTAGTTTCTTATTGTGAAACTCTTGTACGTCAGATCACGAAGCTCATATTTGACTATACGTATATACAGAAAGTTCCGATGTGGAAAAATTACATAGGAGGTTTCATCAAAACAACGACGATATATGTGGTGTGGGTCGGTCAGCAAACGGAATACCATGAACATGAAAACCACAGGATAAGTTTCAAGTGTTATATTAGATATCATTGATGTTATATACGCTACATACTCGTTTCTAGATCCGTCAAAACTGGTGAAAATGTCTAAGTACAGGGTGTGATTATATATGCCGCTTGCTTCAGGGTGATTTATAACTTCGTAACAACACAGACATACATTATATGGAATACCCTGTACATAAAGAAGTTTGATATTGCATACGTGTTTGGATCGCTACTTCCGAATCTATGTTGTATTTTGTTTGAGAAACACTCAACTCCGCTTGTAAATCAGATATACCTTAGTTTCTTGTCGCTTAAATGTTTATTTTTGGGTTTTTGTACTTTTTTCAAAAAATTCCAATAGAACACAGTGCGGTACAAACAGCACTTCTACTCATTTTTGGAACGGCAGGGATATTACGTAACTTGAAAAATGGCATTATGTCGTTTTTTTTTTGACATTATGTACGTTTGCCTACAAGACGTCAACTCCACTTCATGCTCACTTGTAGCAAGCGTAGAATGAACTATTTGCACACTAGCCTACTTAGTCAACAAGTTGACATTTTATCGGCCTTTGACATTACATAGAGTTTTACGTAATAACCCTACCGCTCAAGTTAGCAAGCTTAGGTTCTAAGTAATGAGACTGATACATAATACTCTACTTTCAGCTGAAAGTGGCAGTTCAGAATGTCAACAGGGAACATTTTTTAAATGGAACGGAGGGTACTGTGTATTACGCATTCAGAAAAACTTTCTAAAATAAAAAGATTGATATCGGAAAACGCTCAAACCTTACAGCTCCATAGCTAGCCATTTCGAAAAGTATTGATTTTATATTTTAGGGATATACGGTACTCATAAATATCTTCAAAATAAAGTATTACCCAACCTTCATATTTTTAACTGTTATTTTTACGATCAACTATTCAAACGTCAATTTCACTGTCTTGGATTTCATTTTGCTAACTTGACCTGTACAAAAAATAAGGGATCTTTCTGAAAAGCACTGTATTTGCATTTTTCCAATATTACAAATCAAAATACTTAGATAAATACCATATATTATGTTTCTTGAAAAGGGACGAAATTACCAGTCCACTAAAAATCCTCCGTCTCCAAAAAAAGGTGGTATTTATTTAATAGACTGTACCGTAATTCCTGGGAACTGCAAACCACAACCATGAAAATATACAGGATGTTTCGCTTGTATCTTTCGTGAAAAATAACAGTTTGCGTTTATAAGACTCTCTATAGACTATGCACATAATTTAAAAAAGCTTAAATGACTACAAATGAGGAGATGAAGCTCATCTTGATATAAAGCTTGCTAGTCCATCTGCAAAAGTGAATCTCTTACAAAGCTGAGTGTTTTTGGACAAAATATCCTGTAGGTCTAGAAGTAGAGGTTCAAACCCTAACTTCATCTTTTGAAGAGGCTTTCCAGAATATACTAAAATACTCGTATACAGGGTTCTCCATTAAGAGAATGCATTTCAAGATTTTTGGGTTGCCACCCTGCAGACAGCGAGTAGGGAGCATATTTTTGCCTGTAATTTTTAATTTTTTTCACTAGTTATCGAGTTAATAAGCTTTCAATAAAACAACACATCGAAATTACATCGTCCATGGAAATAAATAAAAAACATGTTTAATAAACTTTTTTGTTATAAGGAACATAGGGGTTCTTTATTTCTATGTTTTCACTTATTAGCAAGTTGTTTCTCAAACGTTGTAATGCTCTAAAATATCGCATCATCCATGCAAACAAAGGAATTGTTGATTAGTTTATAGTCTGTCAGGGATTTCTTAGTGAATATAAGACAAACACTAAGCACGTACTTAAAAACGAATTTTTCTTCCTAAGGAAGAAACAGTTAATACTCGTATAGTGTTCGTTTTGGACGAAGCGTAAATAAATAGTTTCTTAGCATCTCACATTTCTAAGCGGCAAGTACCAAAATTTGTGACATTAAAAGCCAAAATCATTTTTACACATTTTGAATCACGTGGCTGAGTGCACAAAAGTAAAAAGGTTGTAAATAATCAAAAAATCACCAGTTTGATGAATCAGTTGAAGGCTCTATTAAAAGTGCAACATAATCCCCATTTAAGTGCTTGGCAAATCGGAGCAGAAACTGACATTAGCAGAAGTAAGGTCCAAAAAATTATCAACCTAGATACCATTCATATCACCTGTGGTTACATCAATGCCTCCGCACTCCGGATTTCGCAGCTCGAATTGAGTTTATCAATATAACGCTGAATGTGAGTGAAGACACTTTTCTAGATAATGCTCTTTGAGCGATAGAGCATTTGTTAGCAATATAGATGTTGTAAACAAGTATAACAGGCTATCATGTGACAAAAAAAACCCCTAGTGGGATAGACAAATACATGACGGCGCACCTCGGCATTATGATTATTTGGACACCTGCAGGGGTATTACGTATCCTGAAAAGTGACACTATGTCGGTTTTTTAACATCATATAGGTTTTTTGTGACATTATGTACGTTTTGCTACAAGATGTCAACCTAGCACTAACTGTTATACACTTGTTGTGTACTCGTTCCGTAGTTGTACGTGTTGCCTAAACGTCATGATGCTTCAGCTATCGACATTTTGGCTCTGATGTGATGTAACATCTGCTTCAGAGGTGGCATTATTAGAGGTGTAAGCTTTAAGTAGTATACTCTAGCAGGAAGGAAACAGGAGTGCATAGGTTGATCATAATTCCGTTGGTTTCTTGTCTCAAATACACTTACTTGAGATGTATGCAAAGCTAAAAATTAGTTGCTCATCCGCTTCTTCTTATTTAACCTGGAAATTACATGCGCAAATTTGCTGAGTTTCAAAAAAGAGAGTGATAAGAAAAGAAAATCAATGATTGGTGAAGTATATTAAAACAGGTGAGATAATATGGTATATACAGAAAAATTTATGAAACGTAAAAAAGCTATTACATTTCGCATTAATTTTTATTTCCATTAATTTTAATTTTATAGAAATTTATTTTACGATGTCAGGTAGAAAATACAAATCAGCACCTAGATGTGAGGCAGTGCGAAAATGTTTTGTATGTGATGCGTCAATCCCAATTTTTCTGTAATGTGACGTAACGCGGGTGCGGTGCTGATTTCCCGTAATGCTTCTCAAAGTTTTTGATAACGCAAAAACGAAAAAAATAGTAATTTATAACTTTGAACATAACCTCTCTACAAAAAAGACAACACAAATAACCCATCTGGCACAGCTAATAGATGTCTTTCGTGTGCAGCATATTTAGTAATAAGTTTCTCACATAGCAAATATCACTAATTTTTAACAAATGCAGACCAATACACACAATCATCCAGATGTGATCTTGGTACTCTGCTACTGAACCACACATCTTCTCAGACTATACTCTACATAGTATCTCGGCATTTTGCAACCAACAAAGCATGATGGGAAACTGACTTGCAGCTTGGTCGTTGAGCGTATCGTGTCGTTGAGTCATTCCTACATAGCGCTCATAGCGAGCAAACGCGGAATGTACTATTTTCACGCTAGGTACTACTACCTAGGCAGCAAGTTGACATTTTGTCGTTTTTTATATTTTTTAGGTTTTTTACGTAATAGCCCTGCTGGAGTAGCAATCGTTAGATCCGTCGTGGTGGGCTCAGGTCATCTGACCCCTATGGATTTATTTGGGGCTACGTTAAGCAAGGTTTATAAGGATCCACCATATAGCCCGGAAAATATGAAGGAAAGGATACAGGACGCGTTTGAAAACATAAAGTAACATCCCTCAAGGATGTACAACAGTCACTTGTTATCCTAAGGTTTCGGCTGTCTACCCAACATGTAAGGGATATTTCTGAACAATTCCTATAGACTAGGTCTTGAGTAGTATTAGTAGTTTATTATGTTGGTGTTATCGCTGATGATCACAAAAATTGATAAATCAGTTTATACGATTCTGATTGTGATTTGTTTTTACGTTAATTGTGCAACATTAGTAACAATACGAAACTAACCCAATTTTTATCTGTTGTTTCCGTAGATTACGTAATTTTATTCATTAATTTGGATGTGTTGTTTTATTAAAATCTTATTACCTCGATAACAAAAAAAACTGAATAAAAAATGCAAAAATATACAGGGTGTTGCGTTTGAGATTCTTGAGAAACAGTACATTTTGCGTTTTTAACCACACTGTAAGTTTGATATGTGGATCAAAGTTAGGACACCCTGTACAATTGTGTAATATCCCATGAACAATTTTTTCTGAAATATCTTTGTTGATGGGTAATATTTCGTCTCTACATGGATGAGCATAATTATTTTCAGCAATTTTTGAAATTCTCTTTGTAAATCTTTTCAATCACGGCTGCAAAGTTAATTTTTCGTGACCGACTGAGGGCAATAACAAGAAATGTTTGGGTGAGTTACAGAAAAAGCAAATTA